CCCTCGCCGCCTCCGGACCATCTGTTCGTTACCAGCCCGCGCCCTCGCAGAGCCGCGCCGCGGGTGGGACCGGGTTACTCAATCATCCCCACCAGTGCGAGATGCTGCAAGAGGGTGGGGTGGCCCTCCAGCTGCAGAAAAACAAGATGGCAAGACGAAAACGACCTAATTTTCTGTAGAAACCCTGATTTTTAGTAGCAGTCTCGGTGCCTGCGCTGCTCTGCAACAAATACGACTCTGCAAAGGAGTGCGATATCTTTTATATCGGTCCCACCCCAGCAGAAAATGGGTCTCTGAAAAAAGGAATGCTTTTCTGAGAAGAAGCGCTCAGGATGTGCTAGGTCTGAGGCTATTCCCCATTTAGATGGGAAACAAAAAGCAACAGAGATGGGAGGTTGACGTATGGGCGAGGACAGCAGAGGTGTGCGGTTCTTGCTCTCTAATTCAACTTCCTTAGAAAACTTTGCGCTCCAGTAAGCAGCAGCAGTTGCTGCAGAGCAGCTTTTCTCCTCCTCTTAGCAGGGGTTAACAGCCCCTTGGGAAGGGTCCTCATGCACAGAGCTTGCTGATGTCCCCCTGTGTACAGGTAGGGCACCCAGCCACCCCTTTGGGGGTTTCATCGGGTCAAGCTGTTTGTGGTCAAGTTATTTTGAGAGGGTTGAGGACAGGCTTGAAAAGACAGTGAAGGCAGTGGAGTGAGACAGCACAGCTGCCAGGGATCTGAACGCTGAGAAATGAAGAAGGGAAGGTGGTTTATTTTGTATTAAAACCAGCTGGTAATTGGTAGGAGCCTGCCCAAGAGGTATCATGTGTTTTCACCAAAGGATGCCCAAAGATCTGTATCTTCTTTTGTTGTAACTGAAGCTGGTAAAAGCTATCCTTCAACCTTTCCAGAGCTCTGCTGCATTTGAAGTTAAGATAATGTATTGGGCATAAAAATGCCTTGGCAAGTAATGCTTAAAAACAATGAAAGATGAAAAGGCTCCTGGGGCTGAAATTGATAAAGGAATGAAAGAGGCTCCAGCCTGTGACTCAAAGAAACCTCAGGCGTGTTGCGGTTTAGTCTCTGGGTGTTCCCCTGCACGCTTTAGCTGTGCATTGATTGCACCTTACTGCGGCTTTCCTCTGACCTGTCTCAGTAGGAAAAAATTGTTGCTATTGTTTGTAGCTGGGGGCAGGCTCATCTAGTGTCCTTCCCCTTCTTTCCCAATAAATAAACTGTTGTGGTGAGACACTGGTGCAAAGGAGAGGAGACTGGCAGGCAAGCAACGAGAGCATCAAGGAGAATGGAACAACTGAAATACAGGTATTAGGGAACTGAGAGGAAGGAAAGTGAATTAAATCACAGTTTCCCAGTGATCTGTGCCCTGTGGCATCAGCATTTGCTTTTGGTCAGTGGATTTAAGATGAGTAATTTGGCTTATGGGAATGCTAGAGGTGCGTCCCATTCCTGCAGTGTGTGTACCTCCCACGCTGTGGGGAAGCACTCCTGGTACCTGCAGCTGGGTTAGCTCAGGATCCAGCTGCTCAGCAGACAGGTATGGGCACACCAGCTCCTGAATGAGCACTCACTCGGGGATACAGAGCGGCTGGCCTCACTGCCCTAGTACCCGTCACTGCACGGTATGTAAGGACCAGGTGAGGGAACATATGGTCAGATCTGAGCTGGTGGGTTAAATGTGTCCCCCCACAAAAACTCTTGGGCCCCCCGTAGGGTAGGTCTCAAGGAAATGGGTAGAAAGAGTGAGAACGGATAGAAATCACACGACACTCTGGGGACACCTGAGGACCTGGAATCTGCACACCGCGTGTAGGAAATCCCAGTGTCTTTTTGAAAGGGGGTGGGGGAGATGAGCTGTGAGCCAAGTGACAGGGGAATAGTCACAAATCAGGTTTGCCAAGTACTGGGAAAACTAAAACCATTTCCAGAGAATCTCCTCTGGTGCAGAGATTCTCAGGTGACTCACAGAGCAGGACATGGCACGGGGTTAGATGTTAGAGAAGCTTGAATACAGCGGTACACACGTATGACTGAAGCCAGGGGCTGGAAAAGGCTGGCACAAACGAGTCACATAAAACAAGGCTTCTGGGACTGGGTTCAAATGTAATGAAGCGTGCTGAGACCTCAGATGAACAAAGCACCTTCTCCTGTCAAGTTCACTCTGCCTGCCTTTCAGGGCAGTGGGGCTAAAAGATAGCTTAAAAGCAAACTCAAATCCTGATTTGCTCTGATAAAGGATATGCAAAACCCACAGAAAGAGCTGATTGATAGATTTGTAATAAAGTACCGATGGCTTTATATGGAATCATAGAAATTTATTTTCATCTGAGGACTAAAAAGAGAGTTGAATATGAATTACATTATCTTCCAGAAAAAAAAAATAACCCTTGCTTTCTTACTGTCCTTGTGGTTCGTGTTTCTGATACCGAGATCCCTTTCCTCCAAGGCGCTCAGTGTTCACTCTGGGTTTGTACAGGACAGGTACCTCCAGGCACAAGCTTAGAGCTGACAGAGCCCTGAGTTTACGAGTGCTGCTGGTATGAAAGGACTCTTAACCATTCTGACCTTTGTCAAGAGGTTGTTCTGGTATGCAGGCAATAAGCAAGTAAGCTGACATCATAGGGCAAACCCTGTATTCACCCTGCGGCACTTTTTGATTGCTTATAAACTTAAACAAGACTGTATTTGTACAATCAAAACCAGGAACTTGAGGCCAGATGGTCCCCACAGTCTCCTCAGGTGTTGGCAGACAGGTCCTGAGCATCACTGGCAAGTAAAACTTCTCATTTCCCTCCTCAGGGCAGCACAGGACGGAGGAGTTCCGGAAGGTGAATGTCCTGATGAAGGTGCCCGCCCTAAGGGATGGTTCTTTCACCTTAGCAGAGAGGTGAGGCTCAAATAAGCTCAAACCCCTACTGCAGTATTGTTTATCCTAATGCTTGGATTCTGCCAGTGCACTGTTCGGTTTCTACGGGGACTCCAGTAGTTGTTTGCCTCCTTCCTATCTGTTCCACTTGTATATAAAATAAACCCATGTTTCAAGAGAAGCTTTCTCATGTAAGCAACTCAAACAGCATTGATCATGGAAAAATCTGTGAGCTCCTGCTTGGAGCTAGCTTGCATGTAGGCAGTGTTTCTAAGCCAAAATACCTGTCCATGTGTCCTCCTGCTGTCTGCCTTCAGCTGGAGGCTGTAGGTCAATGCAGTAAATCTGATGCAAGGCACCCACTGCTGGATGGCCAGGCAATACAAAGCTCTGATTTGGTATAAACTCATTCTGTGGCTCATACTTGCTCAAAAATGTTGATGAGGTAACAGTACCAGCAGGCCACGTCTGTCTCGCTGGGCTGATATATCAGATAATTGCTGTCCACAAGCAGCCAGTCAGGCCAGCACAAACTCTCTCATGTGCTGTGCCTAGCTGGCAATTGCGTGTCCTGCACTTCTGCTTGACTCAGATCAGGTTTGTCTTGCTGCTGGTCCAGCAGTGCAAAATTTGGGGGAAGAAGAAAGGATGAGGTGCTTTAATCTCAGATGATCAGCTCACCGGTTTGCCTTGCTCTCTGGGCAGCATTGCAATCCTCCTGTACCTGGCCCGGAAATTCAAGACTCCTGATCACTGGTACCCATCTGACCTGCAGAAAAGGGCTAGGGTTGATGAGTACCTGTCATGGCAGCACGTCAACATTCGTGGGAAGGGGAGCAAGCTGTTCTTAACTAAGGTAAGACCGTTATATACCAAAAACTAAGTGCTAAGAACTGTGAGTGCAATGGCCCAGGAACTATCTCCTGTGTGCAGGGTCTTTCTAAGCAAATGTACAAGCCAGGTGACAGATAGGAACAAAACTAGATCTGGAATTCACTTGGCTGCTCAGCCGAGCCTAACTGAAGTGGCCTGAATACTTCATGCTGCAGCCACAGCTCTGGGCATGCACTGAGATCCAGAGCAAATTCGTCCTGGGTGAGCAGCTAACACCAGACACAGCTCACTGCCTTCTGCCCAGCTTCATGGAAAGAACGAACCTCCCGTTGGAAAACAAAATGCAGTTGCTTGCAGATGATGCAGCCTTCCCTTGAGAGGAGACTCTCGTGGTTGAAATTTCAGACTTTCTAGGGAGGAGACGAGGACAGGCAGGAATTAATGACTGACATTAATGTTAATCTGCCAAAGGAGATCAGCAGTACCAGTTGTTCTCGTGCATGGCTGGTGAGGGATCCTTAGAAGAAAGCAGTGGGAGGGAGTGGACTAAGTTCGGAGGGAAATATGTAAAAAGCAACTTGTTTCTTCTCCCTGCCAGGTGCTGCTGCCTCTCCTCACAGGCCAGCCACTTCCTCCAGAGAAACTGGAAGGTGTTACTGAAGAGCTGAACGTTGTCCTGAAGCAGTTTGAGGAGAAGTTCTTGCAGGACAAGCCCTTCATCGCAGGCAGTGAGATCTCCCTGGCAGACCTTGTAGCACTGGTGGAGCTCATGCAGGTAAGTATCAACCCCAGCACTGTTGGATATGCAAGCTGGGTTGTGGGCAGGCCAGGCCAAGGTGTGGCTGCAGCACCACCACCTCTTTAATGGCAGATCTTTCTCCCTGCGGTTTACTCCTTAGTGGAGTTAAATCTTGTTCCTTTTTGACTTTGACCATAATTGAGTTTGCCAGGGAACACCTACTTTGAGACAGTTCTCTCTATAGAAGTATGGACAAAATTCCTCAGAAAAAAAGATAAATTAAAACTAGGCAGAGAAAGTACAGATATTTGAAAGAGCTGTGTCGGTGTGCATGGACCTCTGTGTTCTGCATTAGACAGTTCTTGGGTTAGCTGTGGCAGTGCTCTTTTGCTGCACGTCCCAGGGGACAGCAGCTGCTGAGGATGACACCACTTGCTTCCTGCTGGCTAAGCACCAGAGATGAACTCCACCTAATGTGACAACTGTCTGCTGCCTTGAGCCAAAAGCATATCCGTGCTTCATTCTGGTCCCATCCCTGGTAAATGTGTTGTTTGACTCACTCCCGGGTTCTCTTGCTCTCTCTCTCTCTGCAGCCCGTAGGTGCTGGCTACGACCTCTTTGAGGAGAGGCCGAAGTTAGCAGAGTGGCGCAGACGGGTGGAAGAGGTGGTGGGGAAGCAGCTCTTCCAGGAAGCCCATGAAGGGATCTTGAATGCCAAGAACTTGACCGCTGATAAGATTGCACCTGAACTGCTGGAGCATTTCAAGCACCAGCTCCTAAAGCAGGCCAGCCAGAATTAGGGGGTTATACTTCAAGTAAAATGGATTATTTTGTGCAGGCTTTTTGTAGTATTTCAGCATTTCTTCTAAAAATCATACAGAAACACCATTCCACAAAATGCACTTCAATCACAGCCTTTCTGCAACTTAGAAGGGAAGAAAACTACTTCTTAAACAGATTGCAGTGAGCTGCTTTCCTCTCTTGTCCACTAAAGGTATGTGAGCTGTAGCCCTATAGGCTTTTATTTCTTGCTCCAACACCACTGGATCTGCTTGAGGACAGAGGCGATTCGGTTCATGTGGGAACTGGGGCCAGTCAGAACTGCCCTTTCCATCCCTGTTTTGAGTTTTCCAGGTCACAGCACCATAAAAGGGGCAAAGGTTTCCTGAGGGTATGGCAGAGCAGATATGTCTGAAACAGGGAAAAATCGTTGAAAATGGCTTTCACTTTGCAACACGCTCAGTTGGAAGATTTTTGCTCTTTAGTAAAGAGATGGGTCAGGACCCAGCCCTTGGTGGGGACCCTGCCAGGACTCTTAGAGCACGTGGCCACTAGAGGCTGCGCATCACCTGTGGGAGCAAAGGTGAGCGCCTAGGAGCAGGGAGGCTGTGCAGGTACCCAAGTGAGGCCTCCAGCTTCTGGGAAGGACGGGGTTAGTCCCGTGAATAAAGATCCTCAACCATAGACTCATGCCATACTTTACAAAGAACAGCCTGCACAGTTGAGAAAAGCTGCTTTTCTAGGTGAAGCTGCTGCCAACCACACGGTCTCCCTCTGCAAACCATATCGGTTCTCTCGTCCTTTCCCCAGAGCGGCTTTGTCAGCTCAGTGGAAGCCACTCAAGCCAGGCTCTCTCTGATGAGCGCTGCCGTGGCTGGGCCAGCATTGGTGGCAGAGGGAGCTGTGCTGGCCAGCCCTGGGGTGAGCGGAGTGCACAGTGTATGAGCTGAGTAATGCCTCAAATACAGTTAATGTTCCACTACTCTTCTGTCATGTCAGATGCTCCAGTAAAGTTAATGGTTACCCTTGCCACATGTTGTAGCTCTGTTTGGATTTGTAAACAGGATTTGGAAGGAAGCGGCCACTGACTCATCCTCCACACCTGTGCAGCACCCTTTACACCCTCTCACCTGTGTCCCTTTGTACCCCTCCTGCCTTCCTGTCCTCCTGTCCCTGTGACCTTCCATTTCCAGGTACGAGCCATGAGGAGTGTTCCAGTTTGCAGAACTGGTTTTTTCCCTCCTTGTTGAGCTCTGGTTGTACCTGGAAGTCCCTTTGTCTCTGCTGGCGGATTACACCATCCACAGAGATGGCTACATAGCACGCTGGGTGTGAGATGTCTGTCAGTCATCTTAACGCAAGTCAAGTTACTACAGTGCTCAGAAAAGGTGAAAGTAGCTGCTCAAACCAGTCTCACACATCCTTTCAGCTGGACCTGCTGGTTTTGGGGAGTGAGCCAGTTGCCTCTTCTGTGTTTGTTTCCTGAGTAAACCTGCCCTTTGGTTCAAAGGGGCACCATGAACCACAGCTTGCAACACACATCCCTGCGGGCTGAGCTAAAGCAGCCAAGCAGGCCAGTCCCTTTTACTTTCCGTTCTTCCAACCTGCAGGAAATCCTAAATGTCAGTGGTGAAAAAGCAGATTTGCCCCCAAACTCTTTCAGTTTCAGTGCTGACACAGGCAGAGGATATTTGTCTTCTTACCTGATACTTTTTATTGGTAAGTTTGTTGAGGAGAGCCTATTGCACTCCAGTCGGCAAAGTCGGTGACAGCAGCTTTCTTCTCGCCCTGGGAGTGCTTGCATGGTGGTGCCTGAGCAGCAACCCCTGTAGGCGCTGCACTGCTGCTCTGCTGTAGCAGCTTGCCTGCAGTGCTAAACCTAACGAAAATGGCCTGTTTACACTGTACCGCCAACCACTTCCTTTCCTCTATAACCTGCAGCTTACAACAGCCACCAGCTGGGCTCCTGCACACCGCCGGAATAAAACAGGTCATTCTTTGCTACCTCAGTGTAGCTGCCCAACCTCTCTGCACTCCTTCCTGTTAGCATGTTTGTACTTTGCCTAACTTCCAGATTGCTGACCTCTAACTTCTCCCTTTTTTGTAGAGAGCAAACCTCCTCCTACCAGCACAATAAATTCCTCACACAGCTTCTGTTCAAGTAGAGGCAGAGCAGAGCAACCATCAAAACCAAAAGCCTAATCTATAGAGTGCTAATCTTGACAGACCTCAAACTGGGCTTGGTGGCAGAGCCCTTCTTGATACACATCTCCCTGCAGAATCTCAAGATAGGGCTGCTGTGCATGCAGAACCGTTGCATGAGCCAAAGCACATAAAGTGTCTTTTTTTTTTTCTTATTTATGATACTTGCAATGCAAAAGCTCCACGTAAGAGAGTCTTGAGCCAATTTTCTGCTTGTTTGAATAAGGCACAAGTTCCTTAAACATCACCCATTGTGTGCTCTTGCAAGGACGGCTGCCTTGAAAAACAAGTTGGAACTGTGTTCTGAGCTCATTGTCTGGTGCTCCTCTGCTGCCAGTGTCACAAAGGATAAACACACGGATCAGCTACTGCCTCACTCCAGCACGGTCGTGGTGACAGGAGGAGATTTTAAATTGTTTTTCCCATAGTCGTCTCTGTCTGCTTTAAGCCTGTTTGAACTGTAGGTTCACTCTCCCAATGAAGCTGTGTGTGCAGCGACCAGTCGCATTTTGGGCCCTTCTACGCATGCAGGACAAAGCACCTCCCCAGAGTAACTCCTTCGATAGCAATAGAGTTGTACAACAGATAAATTTGCCTTGCTGGTGTTTTCGCTCTAAATTGTGGAGATAAGGCATCTCGTCCTTGTACTTTGCCTTTTGCTATCCCTCCACCTCCCCCATTTTGTTCATTTGTGTCATTTGATCTCAGCTGGTTCCAGCTCCTAGATTGAGAGCCCCAAGCGCTGCCTGCCAAAACCCAACAGGCTGTTCAAGAGTTTTACCTGCCTCAGTGCAAGGTCTGTTTGGTGTCCACTCCCCTTTCACCTGAATACGGGGAGGGGTTACACCTCCAGTGACAGTTTAATGTGCTGTTCTGATTCAATTTCCTCTGTTCTGATTCAATTTTTCTTGCCAGGGGCTATTTGGAAATAGGTGAGAGCCTGTGATTTCTAGAGTAAAATGAAGCTGGGATACACAAAATGGGGGGAATGTTTAAAAAACAGATACACATCCTGAGACATTTTCTAAATTATAAAGAAATAAAATGCAAAACTTACTGCATTTTTTTCTGTGTTGTTCCTGTTTCCAAAAATTGGAAAGGGAAAGCTGATAGACAAAGTACAGGGAGGAAAAACGGCCTTTGAGGTGATGGAGCCAAATGAAAATACAGTGCTAGAAGCAGTAGCCTAGAGCCAGGAATAATGCAATCAAGTTACATATAACACGACCAGATGAAAATATCTCTTTGGTTGTGTGGGCTGTGCAGTGCAGTCAGCAAATTGGAGAAAAACTTAAGGAAGGAACATGAAAAGATCTTTAAAGTACAGATAGGACTAATGGATCAATTGAACCATAAATAAAGGAGCAAAGCGAACCCACGCTGCTAATCTTGCTGCCCACCACTGAGAGCAATGAACTCTTCTCAGTGATCTCTCAAAATACGGACATGCAACCACTTGGAAGCACAAAGACTTCTCGGACTATTACCTGTGCAGGGCCACATTCACGCTCCTTTTCTCCGCTCCCTTAACATTTAAGATTTCTTTGCACTGAAGGAGTTTGACGTGAACTCAAGCACCTGCCACAATACTCTATGAGCTTCATCTCCGGCGTGTTGGTGCTGCGTGTAGGTGCTCTAGAAGCTGAACTATACTTCAGGGGAGCTGAAGTGTGTGTGTACACAGCCCCTCTCCCTATTCTGGCCAAGAAACTGGAAAAATCTTACCGTGCAGTTTCTAAATCTGAACAGTGACTCTGAAAATAGGTGTGTGGTGCAGCAAACTCAATACTAAATGTTGAGGTGCGGTTTGTTCACCAGACTCTGGCAGGCTAATTGGTCTAACAGTAATCCCCGTCCCTGAGGAGTTCTCAGAGGAGAAGTCTTGGCAAAGGAAGCACCTGAAAGTGTTCCCATTGGTGATTTATCCAGTCAACGAGCTCCCAGCTTAGTATCCTAAGCCTTTTCACCACCCCTTGTAATGATCCTTTACACAAGTAAAAGAGCAACTGATCCTCCAGTTCGCTCTCCCTGAGGTTCCTGTGGCTCTTTCCAAGGATTTGTGCGTGACATACAAGCTCTCTGGCCCAGCGCTGATAAAAGGGTGTCAGCTGAGCCGAGGTGGGTTTGACTGGGGGTGACTTTGCTATGAGTCGTTCAGCCGCTCTATCTTCCAGAGTCCCAGAAGTTCCTGTACTCAACCAGCATGTCACCTTCCCCGAATCACAGAGCTGTGAAACGCTGCGGGCTCTGTGCAAGGGCTTGAATTCAGTCTGAACTTCTTTCGTTCTCCTCTGCTTGTATGGAAATCTGAAATGACAAATACCAGTGAGAGAGGAAAACCACCTGACCGTGAGTATGCAGAGGTAATGCCTGCAGAGAAGTCCTCCACGCTTCACTGCCATTCAGGCGTCACCTCGCAGTGCTGGGCAGAGACTATGTGACCAAAGAATTATCTTCTGAACTGAAAACCATACTGAGATCTAGTGGTGCAAGATTAATGCTGGCTTAGAGATGTCGTGCAAGGGCCCTGTTTGCAGTGTGACACATCCCCGCAGGACCGCGTTACAAAAACAATCATTTACCTTGTGAGAGCCGGAGTGGGATGCTGTGGGTGAGAGTGGGCTCCCAAGCCCCTGTGGCGTCAGCCAAGGCTGTGGAGGGGAACGACAGCCCCCACTCCCTCAGTGCTTAGTACCAACCTCTCTTTTGAGGTTGGTAATTTACCATTACTCCTGGGTTACCTTCTTTTCCTGAAGCTGGCCTATAGGCACGGTGCCAGCCCTAGCGTGGCCAGGGCTGCCTAACCTTGTGGGATAGGGAACCCTGTCCCCCCCC